GGGGTTTCACCATGTTGACCAGGATGGTCTCGATCTCTTGACCTCGTGATCCACCCGCCTCGGCCTCCCACAGTGCTGGGATTACAGGCTTGAGCCACCGCACCCGGCCTTCTTAATTTTTATTTTTCTAATACTTACTTCCCCTCTTCAGTAGCTCCCCCTGCCACCCATGGACTGGGCAGCAGGGCAATGCCTAATTTTTTTAGAGATTGGTGTCTAACTCTGCCTGGCTTTTCCCCCCCATATTTCCTGGGCTCACTGTTTTCCCAATTCCCAACTCTCAAGATCCTGTTCTTCTGAGCAATGGGGTATTTACATCCTGGAACTGGATCCCCTTGCAGCCAGCTGAAGGTACCATCCCCAGCCCCCAAAGCAGAGGGGCCTGCCTTTTCTCTAAGTTATCCAAGGACAGTAAGCTGACTCAGGAGGCCTGCAGCCTCTATACCGCCAAGTCCTAATGACCACTTGGAAGAGCTGCTGCTATAATTTTAGCCCACACCCACTCCTTTGTCCGCAACCAAAAGAGAACAGCCATACCTCCCACCGGCCCCAGGCGGCTCTTGCCCTCCTTCAGGTCAGATCACGCCGCTTTATAACAGCCATTCACCAAGGAGCCATTTTGTGCCAGGCACCAACTAGGTGTTTTATGTATCTGATCTCATTCAATCAACACAATGACCTATTGAAGTAGAAAGTAACATTCCCATTTTACAGATGAGGACATTGGGGCTCTGATGGATGAAGTTACTTGACCAGCGTTCCACCACTTACACAACTCATACATGTCCCAGCCCCTCCTTGCATGTCCCATGGCTTCCGATGTCTTCATCCTTTCTTCCCAAAGCCTATTTTCTGTCTTTCATCTTTCTTCTCTACCTTGCTTATGAGCTCATTCAAAGTTATGGGTTTTCCTCCCGATCACCTTCCTTCCCTTCCTCTTCCTTAGAGGACCTCACTTCCCATCTCTCAGCCTCCTCCATCCCCCACCCCTGCTAACTGGTGTTTAGAAGCAGGCATACTGAACTCGAAGGACAGAAATAACCCCATGTTGCCACCACAGATGAGCGAGAAGCTGTGCAGAAGAAAACCTTCACCAAGTGGGTGAACTCGCACCTGGCCCGGGTCACGTGCCGGGTGGGGGACCTGTACAGTGACCTCCGGGATGGGCGCAACCTGCTGAGGCTCCTCGAGGTGCTCTCGGGAGAGACACTGGTGAGCCATGGTCAAGAAGGGAAGAGGGGTCCTCAGAAAAGTGGCCGAGGGAACCAGCTGGAGGAACAGCCCTCAGAGTGGCAGCACAGGGCGGGAAGCAGTGGCTCCCTCTGCCCAGAGGATGGGATCATTTCAGGAGGCTTTGCCACTTGGATTATGTAGGAGCATTGCTTCGTGGAGACAGGAACAGTGGCCCCATTGAAAGCATTTCACCTACTCTGGGTGCAATTAATTCCCTTGGGAATCTTAATCTGCCCACGCCTTATCTGTAACCTCAGCTTTGGCTCCAGCCCTGGGGCTGTGCCCATGTTCCTGAGGGAGGTCATGGGGAAGGTGTGCAAACCCAGGCCCTGGGAAGGCTGGGGAAGGAGGCAGAAACCCACAATCCCGTGCCATCGTGCCCCCGTCCCTCCACAGCCAAAGCCCACAAAGGGCCGCATGCGGATCCACTGCCTGGAGAACGTAGACAAGGCACTGCAGTTCCTCAAGGAGCAAAAAGTGCACTTGGAAAACATGGGCTCCCACGACATCGTGGACGGAAACCACCGACTGACCCTTGGGCTGGTCTGGACCATCATCCTTCGATTCCAGGTACCCCAGCACACTGTCACACAGTGAGGTTCCTGCACCGGTGTTGCACCACAAACTGTTACTGCTGGCCCATGACGAAGAATCTAGAACCTTGTGTAGCAGTTGCCATTGCGGTTCTATCCAAGCACAGATCAGTGGATTCCCCTCCTTCAACAGGGCAGAAACCAGTCTGGGTGAATGTCAAACCCCTATGGCAAGTTCCCTTGTGCTGGTCTGTGTATTTGTCATAGGCAATAGGACTACAGGTTGGGCCACAAGGGACTAGAAGCTTTACAAACTGGTCATTCACCACAGGGGGTTTGGGAACTTTAGAGGGTCTGGTCACCAGCCCCAATCCCCTTCCATAAACTCTGCTGGCCTCCCCCAGTGGAATAGTCCCCCTCCTCCTTCCCATGCCCCAGTATCCTCACGCCGTCACAGCATTCCCAATCACCCCTTTCCTTCCCAGGCTCTGTCGGCTTCCCTTTGGAGAGCCAGCTCTCAGAAAATGTTCTCTCTTCTGCCTGGAGAGTTCCCTGCCTGGAGGAACCAGCAACCTCCACTCAGGGGCGCACCCATTCTTCAGCATCCTACCCTAATCTGCTGCCTCAGATCTCTTGCACCCAGTGTTTTGTGGTCCCTTGCCTTATCACAATCTAAAGAGTGGTTTCCTGACGTTTATCTGAGCATCTCTGATAACACCAGGAATTCCTGTCCAGGGAGTGAGGACCCTGCTTGCTTCCTTCCTAGATCCAAGACATCAGTGTGGAGACAGAAGACAACAAGGAGAAGAAGTCAGCCAAGGATGCTTTGCTTCTGTGGTGCCAGATGAAGACTGCAGGGTAAGGATGTCCCGGGCATATGGTACTGGAGGGTCAGAGACCCCCAGGCTGTGCTAGGCTCCAGGAACTGTGAGCTGATGACTATCCTGGAGTCAGACCAGGGCTCGGCCCTACTCACCATTATCCAAATCTCTGTTTATAGGTATCCCAATGTCAATGTACACAACTTCACCACCAGCTGGAGAGATGGACTAGCCTTCAACGCCATCGTGCATAAACACCGGTGAGAAGACAGGGTTAGCAGATGCAGCAGAGTGCTGGGTCGGCTAATGACCTAGGGTGCACATGTGTAGACAGAGATGAGATGAGCTACACAACAGTCAGAAGGAAGGAACGGCACTCGGAGCAGAACCAGAACGTGGGGGTGCAGGGCTGCACGGAGCGCTGTGATGGGAAGCAGGGGAGGCGGTTCCAGGAGGGGCTGCGAGCAGCAGTGTGGGTTTGGGATGCTACTTCTGGACAAAATTGGGTCGGTGACTTAGGGATAAAGATTGGAGTGGGTTTCTCCTTCCTCTTTATGATCTCACATGTTTCTGATCCCTTCTGTTTTTCCTCCCCTCCCAGGCCAGACCTGCTGGATTTTGAGTCTCTGAAGAAGTGTAATGCACACTACAATCTGCAGAATGCATTCAATCTAGCTGAAAAGGAGCTGGGACTTACCAAGCTGCTGGATCCCGAAGGTGGGGCCAGAGCTATGTGAAAAAGAGGTGGCAGGGTAGACACAGGAGGTGGACCAGGGGATGAGGAGGGGAAGACATGGAGTAACCACCAACTGATACAGGGGCTTCTTTGTTGGGGGAAGAAAGTGTTCTGGAATTAGATGGTGGTGATGGTTACACAACCTTGTAAATATACTAAAAACCAGCCAGGCGTGGTAGCTTACAACCAGCACTTTAGGAGGCCAAGGCAGGAGGATTGCTTGAGCCCAGGAGTAGCCTGGGTAACATAGTGAGACCCCATTACTGCCCCCCTATATATATATGTATATTTTCCCCCACACTGAAAACCACTGAATTATATACATTAAAAGGGTGAATTTTATGGTATGAAAATCATTTCTCAGTTCTTTTGGAAAAAGGCTGTAGGTAGGAAGAAAGGCAGCCCAGTGACAGAAAGAGCCCTGGGCTGTGGGTTGTATCCCAGGCAGAGCACCGAGGCGCTCTGTGGCTTGGAGCCAGTGGCTACCCTCTCTGTGACTCAGTTCCCTCATCTCTCTTTTTTTTTTCTCTTTTTTTGAGGCAGCGTTTCGCTCTTGTTATGCAATGGCACGATCTTGGTTCACTGCAACCTCCGCCTCCCGGGTTCAAGCAATTCTTCTGCCTCAGCCTCCTGAGTAGCTGGGACTATAGGCACATGCCACCACGTCCAGCTAATTTTTTGTATTTTTAGTAGAGGCAAGGTTTCACCGTGTTAGCCAGGATGGTCTCAAATCTCCTGACCTTGTGATCCACCTGCCTTGTCCTCCCAAAGTGCTGGGATTACAGGCGTCAGCCACCACACCCAGTCCCTCATCTCTTTTTTTTTTTTTTTTTTTTTTTTGAGACAGAGTTTCGCTCTTGTTACCCAGGCTGGAGTGCAATGGCGCGATCTCGGCTCACCACAACCTCCGCCTCCTGGGTTCAGGCAATTCTCCTGCCTCAGCCTCCTGAGTAGCTGGGATTACAGGCACGCGCCACCATGCCCAGCTAATTTTTTGTAGTTTTAGTAGAGACGGGGTTTCACCGTGTTGACCAGGATGGTCTCGATCTCTTGACCTTGTGATCCACCCGCCTCGGCCTCCCAAAGTGCTGGGATTACAGGCTTGAGCCACCTCGCCCGGCCCAGTCCCTCATCTCTTAAAAGAGAGAATTGGTCTCTGAGGGCCCTTCTAAAATTCTAGGATTCTAAATTAAGCTACATGTTGCTGGCCACACAGTGGCACCTGCTTATAGTCCTAGCTGCTAGGGAGGCTGATGGAGGAGGATCACTTGAGCCCAGGAGTTCTAGGCTGCAGTGGGCTATACTGATCGGGTGTCCACACTACGTTCAGCATTGGTGACTTCCTGGGAGCAGGCGACCACCAGGTTGTCTAAGGAGGAGTGAACCAGTCCATTCAGAATGGAGCAGGTCAGAACTCTCATGCTGATCAGTAGTGGGATCACACCTATCAACAGCCACTGTACTCCAGCCTGGGCAACAGTGAGACTCGTCTCTATTTTTTTAAAACAATTTTTAAGAAAAAAACTTAAGCTCTATGACCTTGCACCCTTACCCAGAACTGGCCTGTGGTCAGCTGACGCTGCTGATTGGTTCCTGTGCTTCTGGTCATAATGCTGATGAGATCAGTAACAGGGCTCTTATTTGGTACCTGGTTCTGCGCTTGACGTGCTTTAATTAATCTTCACAACACCCCTTTGAAATCAGTATTGTTGTTATCCTTAGTTTATAGAAGAGAAGATGGGCGTCTATAAAGGGTAAGCAACTTGCCTAGGTCCACCAGCGGATGGAGCTGAGATTGGCATTCAGGCAGCCTGTCTCCTCCTCTGTCTCTGGGAGAGTGGAGACCAATCTTGGTGCAGCCAGAATAGGGAGGAGAGAAGGACCCAGTGACTCCTCTGCTGGAGGTGCTCCTTAAACTCCGTGGGTGGATTTTGGTCTTGGCCATTTTCTCCCTGTTTTCCATCCTACCTGTAGTCCTATCGCCTGGGACCTTTTATTCCAGAATGACAAGTGTCAGTGAGCTAGCGACAGACAGACGTAGACTACAGGCAGTGCTCCTTGGAGAGCCTCTGGGCAGCATAGCTGTAATGCAGAACCTGGAAATAAAGTTAAGTGTTCTGCAGCTTTCCGAGATGACTTCAGTGGCTCCTGCCTGCCTGCGTGTTTCCAGAAATGGGCAGAGGTTTCCAGTCTCATAGTCTTACCTTTAGGATAAAATCTGGCCTATTTAAGAGAACCCACAGATTTTAAGTCATAGTCAGCCGTGGTTGTGTGGTGGAAGCTAATCAGCTTGAAAGACACTTCCCTCCTTGGGCCCACAGCTGAGTTTTGGGATTGAGGTTAGATACGGCATGATCACACCTGGAGATGATGCTGAGAGCTGGCCTCTGTCCCCACTGTGCTGTGGGGATCACAGTCCCCAATGCCTTGAGCATCTTAGGTTCAGGAGGCTTAGTTCTTACCTTCTGTCCTGCTGCCCCGAATCCATTTTTTTTTTTTTTTTTTTTTTTTGGCAATAGAGTTTCTCTGTTGCCAGGTTGGAGTGCAATGGCACAATCTTGGCTCACTGCAACCTCCGCCTCCTGGGCTCAAGTGATTCTCTTGCCTCAGCCTCCCGAGTAACTGGGACTACAGATGCGTGTCACCACGCCCAGCTAATTTTTGTATTTTTAGTAGAGACAGGGTTTTACCATGTTGGCCAGGATTGTCTCGAACTCCTGACCTCGTGATCCGCCTGCCTCAGCCTCCCAAAGGGCTGGGGTTATAGGCATGAGCCACCACACCTGGCCTCCATTGACTTCTTAGACATTGTTCCAGCCTAAAAGTCCATGATCCATCCCCGCATAGGAATGCTGTTTCTTTTCTTGCTTTTCTTCCCCAAATAACTAATTTTGGTCTCCATGGGGAACTCTAGATAAAAGCCTTCTTGTGCTTCTGGGGTTTGTGCTCTGCTTGGAGGGCCCTTCTTGTTTCCAGGAGAAGGGGGAAAAAGGTGAACTTTTTGGTGCCCTTTTAATTTGAATGGCTGAGTTGTCATTTTGCTCTAAAAGGGGATGGAGAGATGTCGGCCTTGCAGGACTGGGCGGGGCCCAGGTTTGGGGTAAGTGAGGCCTGACCCGAATAATCCTCTCTTGCAGATGTGAATGTGGACCAGCCAGATGAGAAGTCAATCATTACCTATGTGGCTACTTACTACCATTACTTCTCCAAGATGAAGGCCCTGGCAGTAGAAGGCAAGAGAATTGGCAAGGTATTGTCCATGAGCAGTAGGTGTAAAGGCCAGCGGAGGCCTGGCCCAGAGGTCTTACTCCCCCAGTGCAGGGGCAGGGTAGAGCTGTAGGACTGGGCCAGGGACCCTGTGGCTGGGCCTGCCATGTCCCTATCTTCTGTCTCACAGGTGCTGGACCACGCCATGGAGGCAGAGCGCCTGGTGGAGAAGTATGAGTCCCTGGCCTCCGAGCTGCTGCAGTGGATCGAGCAAATGATTGTGACCCTCAATGACCGGCAGCTGGCCAACTCCCTGAGTGGGGTCCAGAACCAGCTGCAGTCCTTCAATTCCTATCGCACTGTGGAGAAGCCACCCAAGTAGGTGTCCCCTGGGCCCCACCCTGCCCTGAACTGTGCTCCCACAAGAGGAAGCCTAAATTAGGGCAGCCTTCCAGGAGGGAAATTTGGCAGTACAGGAATGCAGCAGAGATTTCCCATGCCAAAAGCATCCAAACAACATATTTGTTACAAAATAATTTTTTAATGATGAGCCATTCTTAAAAATCATGCTGTGGGCTGGGCATGGTGGCTCACACCTATAATCCCAGCACTTTGGGAGGCCAAGGCGAGTGGATCACCGGAGACCAGTCTGGCCAACATGGTGAGACCCCATCTCTACTGAGGTTGGGAGTTCAAGACCAGCCTGGCCAATATGGTAAAATTCTGTCTCTACTAAGAATACAAAAAGAATAGCTGGGCATGGTTGCACATGCCTGTAGTCCCAGCTGCTTGGGAGGCTGAGACGAGAATCGTTTGACCTTGGGAGATAGAGGTTGCAGTAAGCCGACGTCATACCATTCCACTCCAGCCTGGGTGACAGAGCAAGACTCCGTCTCATAAAAAAAAAAAAAAAATTACGCTGTGGAAATGATTGCTATGGTGTGTTGAGCCAGTACAATTCATCAAATAAGATTACTGATTGGGGTGTCATGGTAACCCAATCCCAGCGTAGGGATAGAGGGCACTAGACCTGACAGGTCACAGCTGGCAATGTGGGTATGGCTGGTAACATGAGAATTCCAGAGGTTCTTATCATTTCTATATTTTAGCAATTAACTGTCCCAAGTGTATGATTGCTCTTAGGCAATTCTGTTCAGTACCTGCCAAAACATCTGCGTTTATGCTGTCATGGAGCTCTTTTGGAGTTAATATATTTCAGCTCTGAAACTAATATTGTCCAGGAAACAACTGTTTCTGTACATTCCAGGGAATAATTTAAGGTATACGCTTTAACCCAGGAAGTCGTCTTCTGCACGTTAAACAAAGGTATAGCTTCAAGGATGTTCACCAACACAACCACTGTAAAAGAAAAATAAGTCACAGGCCAGCCACTGAAAAAGATATTAAAGAAATGTATTTATTGACATGGAAAGATGATCATGAAAAATAAGCGAGAAAATAGGTTATAAAAGAATTATTTTGGCCGGGCGCAGTGGCTCACGCCTGTAATCCCAGCACCTTGGGAGGCCAAGGCAGGTGGATCACTTGAGGTCAGGAGTTCAAGACCAGCCTGGCCAACATGGTGAAACCCCATCTCTACTAAAAATACAAAAATTAGCTAGATGTGGCCGTGCATGCCTGTAATTCCAGCTACTTGGGAGGCTGAGGCAAGAGAATTACTTGAACCCGGAGGCAGTGGTTGCAATGATCCCAGATGGTACCACCGCACTCCAGCCTGGGTGACAAAGCAAGACTCTGCCTCAACGTAAAATAAAATGGTGTTCTTTTGGTTTGCTAGTATTAGTATTTTCTGGCTTCCACACAAAGAGGTTGTATTGCTTTTGTAAGAAGGAAGGCAACACAGGACATCCATTTTGAAGAGTAAAGAGTCCTTGTGACCCTCGTGGGCTTTAATTCTGACCCCAACCCGGCCTCCTGCCTCAGGTTTACCGAGAAAGGGAACTTGGAAGTGCTGCTCTTCACCATCCAGAGCAAGCTCCGGGCCAACAACCAGAAGGTCTACACACCCCGTGAGGGCCGGCTCATCTCGGACATCAACAAGGTCCGTGTTGCCCACAGGCCACGCACCCTTAGGGCAGCCCCTGGCCCAGACACCTCACACACATCCCCAAACCCGGGGCCTTCTCAGCCTTCACCAAGCTCTGCTATCTCCTGCCCCAACTTGAAACTCAAACACTCCACCTGGCTGCCCACACTGTGCCAGACATCATTCTCCCGTCTTCTCAGGCACACGGCCCTTTGCCCCTTTGTCTGACTCTCCATATGAGGTCACTTAAGGAAATTATGCCCCAAGTCCCTCAGCTTATTCAACCTGTCCCCAGCTCACTATCCCTTCTTTTATTTTTTTCACAACGTTATAAGATTACTAAAAGTAAAAATAAGGTTCACGCACAGTCCTGCCAACACAAAGGAATCAGATAGTTTCCACTGCTCCTGCTTCCTCTAGCCCTTTTCCAGAAGCTTCTACTTGGCTTCACAGACTCCCAGCACTGCCGTTTCCTGTTTCCACACACAGGCGTCTCAGCCACTGCATTCCATGGATCCACCAGACGGAGCTTCCATGGGACTTACCCTGTGCCTTCAGCCCTGCTGAACCCTCCCCGCCCTGTCCTTTCCACTAACCCTGTCCCTTCCACGCAGGCTTGGGAGCGGCTGGAGAAGGCGGAGCATGAGCGCGAGCTGGCCCTGCGCACCGAGCTCATCCGCCAGGAGAAGCTAGAGCAGCTGGCCGCCCGCTTCGACCGCAAGGCCGCTATGCGGGAGACCTGGCTCAGTGAGAACCAGCGCCTTGTGTCCCAGGTAGAACTTGAGGCTCTTAGGATGCTTAGGCTGCTCAGAACTGGGAGACAGACAGGGTGGATAAGAAGCCCTGCGGGAAGTGGTAGGGAACAATGAAACACGAAATCCATCATATGGGAAAAAAAGGCCCAGAGGCCTGTGAGCAAAGGGCCAGAGGCTGGGACAAGAGAGGGTTGGTGAGACAGGATGGGGTGGAATAGAGAGGGAACATAGAGCCACTGCATGGAGCTGGCATTTTGCAGCCTGAGTACCCTGCGGGAGAGAGGAACAGGCAGAAGCATTGTCCCTTGGTCCCCACACCTCCCCTCCCTGCCCCTGCCACAGGACAACTTTGGGTTGGAGCTGGCGGCTGTTGAGGCAGCAGTGCGGAAGCATGAAGCCATCGAGACGGACATTGTGGCCTACAGTGGCCGGGTGCAGGCGGTGGACGCTGTGGCTGCAGAGCTGGCCGCCGAGCGCTACCATGACATCAAGCGCATCTCCGCTCGGCAGCACAACGTGGCGCGGCTCTGGAACTTCTTGAGGCAGATGGTAGCCGCCCGGCGGGAGCGGCTCCTCCTCAACCTGGAGCTGCAGAAGGTGCTCCAGGATCTGCTCTACCTCATGGACTGGATGGAAGAGATGAAGGTACCAGTGTGGCCTGCCGGGTGGGATACGGGTAAGCAAGAGTCGAGGGAGCCCCACAGTGGTGCATTCGCTCGTCTGCTCGGCTGATCTCTGTGGAGTGTGAGCCAGTCAGGGCCCCATCCCCAGTTCATGGGGTTCATGTTCTAGGTGGAGGAGGCTGATGACAAAACCCATGGACCTTTCCATAAACAAAAGAGCAGGGGCCATAAAACCAGTGATGAAACCAGAACAGGGTGGTGTGAGGGGCTGGTCAGACAAGGCCTCTGAGAAAATGCCATGTGAGCCGAAACCAGGATAATGGCCAGGAGCCAGCACAGGAGCTGTGAGGAGAGAACATTCTGGGTGGAAGGAACAGCCTGGCACAGGCCCTCAGCCTGGACCAGCATGGTGTGTTCAGGATCAGAAGAAAGGCCATAGGGCTGTGAGCATGAGGAGCAGGGGCTGTGGACTGAGATTTGGGACGGCGCAGGCAGCCCACTAGGGCCTTACAGCCTGGTCAGGGAGTTTGGATTTTAATCAAAGTAACATGGATCCTTTAAAGTGATTAAAAGGGGCCAGGCGCAGTGGCTCATGCCTGGAATCCCAGCACTTTGGGAGACCGAGGCGGGCAGATTACTTCAGGTCAGGAGTTCAAGACCAGCCTGGTCAACATACTGAAACCCATGACCACTAAAAATACAAAAATTAGCCAGGCGTGGTGGTGGGCGCCTGTAGTCTCTCAGACTACTCAGGAGGCTGAGACAGGAGAATCGCTTGAACCCAGGAGGCAGAGGTTGCAGTGAGCCGAGATTGTGCGACTATACTCTAGCCTGGGTGATAGAGCTAGACTCAGTCTCAAAGAAATAAATTAATTAAAAAGAGCCAGGTGCAGTATGATTACACCTCCAGCACTTTGGGAGGCCCAGGCAGGTGCATCACCTGAGGTCAGGAGTTCGAGACCAACCTGGCCAACATGGCAAAACCCCATCTCTACCAAAATACGAAAACTAGCCAGGTATGGTGGCGGGCGCCTGTAATCCCAGCTACTCAGGGAGGCTGAGGAAGGAGAATCACTTGATGGTGAAGGTTGCAGTGAGCCAAGAAAAAAAATAAAGTGATTAGAAGGTTTTGAGAAGGGGAGAGACTTGATTGTACCTTATGTTTATAAAAAGGTCACTTTGGCTCCCCTGAAGAAGACCTGTGGGTAGGCAGCGTGAGAATGAAACCTGTTAGAGGTTGCTGCCATCTCCCAGTCGAGCAGCAGCCAGGAGGGTAGGTCGGGGAGAGATGCAGAAGGAAGGCTGCTGGGTGCTGAGACGGAGCGGTGGCGACAGGAAGGTGTCGATGATTCTGAGGCTGAGAAGATTAGTCATAGCAAAGCTTCCAAGAGCAGGAGTTAGAACATTGTTCCACATCAGGGGAGTTAAGGATAAGGAGGTTGGGATGACAGGGCAGAACTGGGGTATCCCAGCATATGTGAGCAAGCAGGTTTCTCACCTGGGTGCAACACCTAGAGCCACGGAGAGGTTGGAAGGAAGATACAGCCAGCTTGGCACATGAATGCTCAGGTGGGCATCTGCACTCCATGTGTGCCTGGCAGGGCCGGCTGCAGTCTCAGGACCTGGGCAAGCACCTGGCAGGAGTGGAGAACCTGTTGCAGCTTCACGAGCTGGTAGAAGCAGACATCGCCGTGCAAGCCGAGAGGGTGCGGGCCGTCAGTGCCTCTGCCCTGCGCTTCTGCAACCCAGGGAAAGGTGAAAAGTCTCAGGGAAGGCACTGGAGAGGGAGGGGCTGGGAAGGAGCACATCAAGAGCCCAGGTGGAAGGCTTGGGAAACCTGGGGACAGGAAAGATGGTGGGCAGACGATGGTGACAGAGCTAGAGGTAGGGAGGGAAGCCCAAGAGAGTGTGGTGGGTGGTGAGCAGCTGGAGGGCTCAGTTACAGCTCTGACCCTCTCCTGTCATTTTCTCAGATTATAGACCTTGTGACCCGCAGCTGGTGTCGGAGCGGGTGGCCAAACTAGAGCAGAGCTATGAGGCGCTGTGTGAGTTGGCAGCAGCGAGGCGGACCCGGCTGGAGGAATCACGGCGGCTCTGGCGTTTCCTCTGGGAGGTGGGCGAGGCTGAGGCCTGGGTGCGGGAGCAGCAGCACCTCCTGGCCTCAGCCGACACGGGCCGGGACCTGACCGGCGTCCTCCGCTTGCTCAACAAGCACACAGCCCTGCGGGGTGAGATGAGCGGCCGGCTGGGGCCCCTAAAGCTCACCCTGGAGCAGGGCCAGCAGTTGGTGGCAGAGGGTCACCCTGGAGCAAGCCAGGCCTCTGCCCGTGCAGCTGAGCTCCAAGCCCAGTGGGAGCGGCTAGAGGCCCTGGCCGAGGAGCGTGCCCAGCGGCTGGCCCAAGCTGCCAGCCTCTACCAGTTCCAGGCTGACGCAAACGACATGGAGGCCTGGTTGGTGGATGCCCTGCGCCTGGTGTCCAGCCCCGAGCTGGGGCACGACGAGTTCTCCACGCAGGCTCTGGCCAGGCAGCATCGGGCCCTGGAGGAGGAGATCCGAGGCCACCGGCCAACCCTGGACGCCTTGAGAGAACAGGCAGTAGCCCTGCCTCCTGCACTGAGCTACACGCCCGAGGTGCAGGGCCGGGTGCCCTCCCTGGAGCGGCACTACGATGAGCTGCAGGCCCGGGCAAGAGAGCGAGCACTGGCCCTGGAGGCCGCCCTGACGCTCTACACCATGCTCAGCGAGGCCGGGGCCTGCGGGCTCTGGGTGGAGGAGAAGGAGCAGTGGCTTAACGGGCTGGCCCTGCCTGAGCGACTGGAAGACCTGGAGGTCGTGCAGCAGAGGTAGGCCCCTTGGGCTCCCAGTGAGACTGGCCTTGGGAGGCGGCGGGGGCCAGGTTGTGGGTGGTGAGTCCCTCCATGAACTGCCCACCTTACCCCTTTGAGTCTTAGTGGTTGTCCATTTCTAGTTTTAACAAAAAATGTTAACCATGCTCACAAATAGAGACATTTGACAACAAACCCGTCTGCACACATGGCCCTGATTCAGTTATTGTCAATGTTTTGCTCTATTTGATTCTCCACCCTTTTAAAAACCAAGTCCCCAATATTAGCACATCCCTCCTACATTCTTCAGGGTGCGTCCTTTAAGAAATACGAGGAAGCATTCGTACCTATAATATATTATTTTTAAATTGTCTGTGTGGACTTAAAATAGCTGAGGTTTTGAAGTTATAAACCTTTTAGACAGAGACACTGAAATAGCTTTATATACAGAATAATAAATCTTAAAATCATTTATTCAATAAATCTTAAAATCTTTTTTTATAGAACCACAATACCATTATCACATAGAACAAAATTAGGAATTTCTTGATATGCTCTATGATCAATGTGTAATCAAATTTTCTGGTGTTTAAAAAAATGTAATTAGGTCGGGCCTGGTGACTCACACCTGTAATCCCAGCACTTTGGGAGGCCAAGGCAGGAGGATGACTTGAGTCCAGGAATTCATAACTAGCCTGGGCAACATAGTGACACTCCATCTCTCCAAAAAAAAATTTTTTAATTAGCTAGGCAGGGTGGTGGACGCCTGTAGTCCCAGCTACTGGGGAGGCTGAGGTAGGAGGATTGCTTGAACCCAGAGGTCAAAGCTGCAGTGAGCTGAGATTGTGCCACTGCACTCCAGCCTGGGTGACAGAGTAAGACCCTGTCTCAAAAAAATAAATTAAATAAATAAACATGTAATTAAAGTTTTTTTAGTCTTCAAAGTATCCTAATGTAGAGGTTGACAAACTGTAACCCTTGGGCCAAATTCAGGCTGCTGCCTGTTTCTGTGAATAAAGCTTTATTGGAACAGAGCTGCACTTGCCTATTCGTGTATTGCCTGTGGCTGCTTTCAGGCTACAGCAGCAGGACTCAATTTGCCATAGCAGCTGGATGGCTCATGAAGCCTATAATATTTACCATCAAGCCCTTTACAGAAAACATTTGCAGACCTTGCCCTATTAGAACATAAAATGTTGGCCAGGTGCAGTGGCTCACACCTGTAATCCCAGCACTTTGGGAGGCTGAGGAGGGTGGATTACAAGGTCAGGAGTTCAAGATCAGCCTGGCCAAGATGGTGAAACCCAATCTCTACTAAAAATACAAAAATTAGTTGGGCATGGTGGCGGGCACCTATAATCCCAGCTACTCAGGAAGCCAAGGCAGAGAATTGCTTAAACCCGGGAGGCGGAGGTTGCAGTGAGCCAAGATCGTGCCACTGCACTCTGCTCTGGGTAACAGAGTGAGACTCCATCTCAAAAACAAAAACAAAAAAACATAAAATGTCCCTGGAAGAAGCTATCTTTCACATATTGATGACCTAGACAAATAATTTTGTTTACTACTTCATATTCTAACACATTAGTGGGATAAGACCCAGATAGGCAGCTAAGGGGGAAGTCCCAGGAGGCTGAGAGGATGTGATAAAGTGTTGGTCCCATACCAGGGTCTAGTTTGACTTGTGTGTCTGTTCCTGACCTTTACCTTTTACCATCTTTTGAGCAACTATAGCGATAATAGTTATTCTACTTGTTTTGGGGGAGTTGGGAATTCCTCCCTTGACCCATAGATACTATGAACCTCATAGGCTGAGAGGCCCAGAGACTCCTATAGATAAGCCTCCTTGTGAAGGAGAGGCGTTCTCGAGGGTGTCTAAGAGAGGTGGACTTAGATGACTGGGCACATCGCTGCTTCCCACAGTTCACGCCTGGCTCTTCCACCCTCTCAGGTTCGAGACCCTGGAGCCTGAAATGAATGCCCTTGCAGTGCAAATCACTGCAGTGAATGACACTGCCAAGCAGTTACTGAAGGCCAACCCCCCAGGCAAGGACCGCATTGTCAACACCCAGGAACAGCTTAACCACAGGTGGGCTTGGGAGGGCAGGACTGGGAAACTGAGAAAAACATGAAGCAATGGGGATGGCAGTGGGAGGCAAGATTTGTAAGGCCTGGAAGGGTGGCTGAAAAGGAGGATGCAAACCAGTGTGAAATGTGTGGGGGAAGGAAAAATGATGAAAGAGACAAGAGAGGGGGTCAAAGTAGTCTGAAGCGGCTGCTGGCCAGAAAGGGAGGAGTCAAGGGGAGATACCAAGGGAGACAGGAGCAGGGAAGAAGCTTCCAAGTGGGCCTGGGCCTGGGCAGGACAGGAAACCGAACCTTCCTCCTGCTCTCAGGTGGCAGCAGTTTCGGTCCCTGGCAGACGGCAAGAAGGCAGCTCTGACCTCAGCCCTGAGCATCCAGAACTACCACTTAGAGTGCACGGAGACCCAGGCCTGGATGAGAGAGAAGACCAAGGTCATCGAGTCCACCCAGGGCCTAGGCAACGATCTGGCCGGGGTGCTGGCCCTGCAGCGCAAGCTGGCCGGCACAGAGCGGGACCTGGAGGCCATCGCTGCCCGGGTGGGCGAACTAACTCGAGAGGCAAATGCCCTGGCTGCCGGCCATCCCGCTCAGGCAGCAGCCATTAACGCCCGGCTCGGAGAGGTGCAGACCGGCTGGGAGGACCTCAGGGCCACCATGCGGCGTCGAGAAGAGTCGCTGGGGGAGGCGCGGCGGCTGCAGGACTTCCTGCGAAGCTTGGATGACTTCCAGGCCTGGCTAGGCCGCACTCAGACTGCTGTGGCCTCTGAAGAAGGGCCGGCCACCCTACCTGAAGCAGAGGCCCTCCTGGCCCAACACGCAGCCCTGCGGGGAGAGGTGGAGCGGGCCCAGAGCGAGTACAGCCGGCTGCGGGCCCTGGGCGAGGAAGTGACCCGGGACCAGGCCGATCCCCAGTGCCTCTTCCTACGACAGCGACTGGAGGCCCTGGGAACCGGCTGGGAGGAGCTGGGCCGAATGTGGGAGAGCCGACAAGGCCGCCTGGCCCAGGCCCACGGCTTCCAGGGATTCCTGCGGGATGCTCGTCAGGCTGAGGGTGTGCTCAGCAGCCAGGTAAGACTTCAGGGCACCGTCCCCACCAGGACGAGGAGGAAAGTAGGGACCTGGGGAAATGTGAAGGAACATGGTGGAGGGGGAGGCAGATGCCAGAGGCTGGGGGTTAAGAAGCTGGATAGAGGCCGGGCGCGGTGGCTCACGCCTGTAATCCCAGCACTTTGGGAGGCCGAGGCGGGTGGATCACAAGGTCAAGAGATCGAGACCATCCTGGTCAACACGGTGAAACCCCGTCTCTACTAAAACTACAAAAAATTAGCTGGGCATGGTGACGTGTGCCTGTAATCCCAGCTACTCAGGAGGCTGAGGCAGGAGAATTGCCTGAACCCAGGAGGCGGAGGTTGCGGTGAGCCGAGATCGCGCCATTGCACTCCAGCCTGGGTAACAAGAGCGAAACTCCGTCTCAAAAAAAAAAAAAAGAAGCTGGGTAGGCAGGAAGGACATGTTAGCGAAATGGGGCTGCGCAGTGGTTCACACCTGAAACCCCAGCACTTTGGGAGGCCTCTAGACATTCTTGAGGCCAAGAATATTCAGACCAAACTGGGCAATATGGCAAGACCTTGTCTCTACAAAAAATTTTTTAAAGAAAAAATAGGCCGGGTACAGTGGCTCACGCCTATAATCCCAGCACTTTGGGAGGCCGAGGCGGATGGATCACGAGGTCAAGAGATCGAGACCATCCTGGTCAACATGGTGAAACCCCGTCTCTAAAAATAGAAAAGTTAGCTGGGCATGGTGGCGCACCCCTGTAATCCCAGCTACTCAGGAGGCTGAGGCAGGAGAATTGCTTGAACCTAGGAGGCAGAGGTTGCGGTGAGCCGAGATTGCGCTATTGCACTCCAGCCTGGGTAATGAGCAAAACTCCATCTCAAAAAAAGAAAAAATAATAATTTTCTAAAAAGAAAAATGGGGGGCAGACAGGATGGCTCACACCTGTAATCCTAGTACTTTGGGAGGCCAAGGCAGGAGATAACTTGAGCTCAGGAGTTTGAGACCATCCTGGGCAACATAGTGAGACCCCCATCTCTACACACACACAAAATTAACTGAGCATGGTGGTATATGCCTGTAGTCCCAGCTACTAGGGAGGCTGAGGCTGGAGGATCACTTGAGCCAGGATTTTGAGGCTGCAGTGAGCTATGATCATGCCACTGTACTCCAAACTTGGCCACAGAACGAAACCCTGTCTCGAAAAAGGAAAGAAAAAGAAAAATGGGAATGAAAAAAAATGTGAATATAATTTACTAAAACTGATTTCGGAAGAAATAGAAAACCCAGTTTGTCATGTAGCTGTTAAAGAAAAGGAATCAGGAGGTAGAAGTGAGATAGAACAGGATTTGGGCTGGGAAATCGAAGGTCCTCCCACCCAGCTTCCCTGTGACTTTCTGAGACTCCCACGCTGGCTGGCAGCCTCCCCGTCTTCAGAGCTCTCCAGGCTACCCTCCCCATCTACAGATTGGCCCCTACCTGTCAGTTGTGCCCCTGGTTGGGTCCCTCTGAAGGGGGTGAATTGTGTTGGGGAAAGTGAACTGAATATCACCCCTCCCACACAGGAATATGTTCTGTCTCACACGGAGATGCCAGGGACACTCCAGGCTGCTGATGCTGCCATTAAAAAACTGGAGGACTTCATGAGCACCATGGACGCCAACGGGGAACGGATCCGAGGGCTCCTGGAGGCTGGGCACCAGCTGGTGTCTGAAGGCAACATCCATGCTGACAAGATTCGGGAGAAGGCAGACTCCATTGAGAGGAGGTCTGATGAGGATCATCTACGAATTAGGGGCCCCAGAGGGGAATGGGGGAACAGGGTAGCCTCAAAGATGAATGCGGCACAGGAAACCTACAGACAGGCAGGAGCTGACAGAGAAGTAGACGGGGAAGAACCAAGTGGTTGCAGAGGGCTGGGAGGTTCCACCCCCGACCAGGCCCAAAAGGAAGTCAGGATTCCTGGGTAGCCTTATTGTGCTTCTGGAAGGCGTTATTCCCATAGAAGAAATGGAGGCCCCTAGGTTAGCCAAAGGGTCAGAACCCTTTCACAGCAAATTCTAGAGTTTCACAAGGGGCTGTTGTTGCAGGCACAAGAAGAATCAAGACGCAGCGCAGCAGTTTCTGGGCCGTCTTCGGGACAACCGGGAGCAGCAGCATTTCCTGCAAGATTGTCATGAGGTGAGGCTCCTCATTCCCTGGGGCCACAGAACATTCCCTAGCCATCCCTTTCCCACCTTGAGCCTAGAATAAGCCCACCTCGGGGTCACTGGAGACCGTGAATCCCTTCATGGCTTCTTCCCAAGCTGCCCACTTCTTGTGGCTCACTGTGGCCCTGCTTTTATGCCCTGTTCTTCCTCCCTTGGAAATGCCCCCTCACCTTTGTCCCTGTTTTACGTTTGGTCCAGCTGAAGCTCTGGATTGATGAGAAGATGCTGACAGCCCAGGATGTGTCCTATGATGAGGCCCGCAACCTGCACACGAAGTGGCAGAAGCACCAGGCGTTCATGGCTGAGCTGGCCGCCAACAAAGACTGGCTGGACAAGGTGGACAAGGTGAGCGGTGCTGTTGGGGCTGCCTCTGGGCAGGGTCCCCCACGGTGTGGGGGAGGGGCTTGGCTCCAGGACGTTAGAGATTGTGGGGCTTCTGGTGCCACAGCTCCACGGTGGAGTTATAGCCTGGGAAACAAACATCTTTGTTGGAGACAGAGTGGGACAGTGAGTCCAGAACCTTGATAAAATACAAATTAGTAGGTAGCCAAACTGCAGCTTGGATTTAACACGATAGTTACCGTGTTCCTAAGTTCAAAGCAGGATGATACTCTTCCGCAGGCTCTGCAAACTTTGTCTGGAAAGGGCTTGGGCTCGATGGTCATATTTGAGCCTTTGCAGTCCATATAGTTTCTGCCACAACTACTCATCTCTGCCGTTGTAGTGCAAAAGCAGCTATAGAGAACACGTGAATGAATAAACATGGATGTTTTCTAATAAAACTTTGCTTGTAAAAACAGGCAGTGGGCCAGATTACCTCGTGGGCTGTATGTAGTCTGCCAATCCTTATTTTTGACTCTTGCTGTCCCTGGTTCTTGGTCTCCCACTCAGCTCTTCCTTAAGAGCTGAGGACAGATAAAACTTTATATGTGCTCAGCAAGTATCCCTAGAGGACATGGTATGTGCTCAACACTCTGCGAGGCACTGTGAGGTCTTTGAAAGACACTTTCCTTCCCTCAAGGGCATGATGGTTGGGACAAAAGGAGACCAGTGTGCTTTCAATTGTTTCCATTAGTTCAGCAAATGTTTACTTGGTGCTACTATATGCAAAGCATTGTATCAGGCACTGCATGGGTCCAAAGGTGATTCCATGGCAGGCTCCACCCTGAAGGAACAACGCTATGGCCAGGATATGAGGCATATACGCAGATAGCTAAATTGAATTTAGAGCAGAATCTGATGAGTGCCCTGAGAGAGAGCCCACTGAAGCCAGGGGAATAAGGAGAGAGGAGATACAGAAATTCTAGAAGCAGCAACACGCAGGGCCATCCATGGAGGATGAGTAGAATTCGGACAAGCGGAGATACTGGGGGAAATATGTTTCCAGGCAGAGAAAACTGAACAGAAAATCACGCTAGGCAGTGCCTGTCTGGGAGCAAGGGGTGAGTGAGTCCGGCAGCAGCACAGGATGTGCTCAGGGGTGCCAGGCATGGTGGCTCATGCCTGTAATCCCAGTACTTTGGGAGGCCGAAGTGGGTGGATTGCCTGAGCTCAGGAGTTCGAGACCAGCCTGGGCAACACGGTGAAACCCCATCTGTACTAAAATACAAAAAATTAGCCGGGCAAGGCCGGGCGCGGTGGCTCAAGCCTGTAATCCCAGCACTTTGGGAGGCCGAGGCGGGTGGATCACAAGGTCAAGAGATCGAGACCATCCTG